GAGAAATGATATTTCTAACCAGTAATAATATTTATAACTAGTAATAATGTGGACATTAATTTTATACTAAAACTCTGAATATTGAATATTATACATGAGGATAGTTATATATATATCGAGCCTTTTTTTATTCCTTTTCAGCGTTTTTCTCAGAGTAGAGGAGAGGATGAGGAATTAATGGCAGAGTTAAAAAGCCCCCGGGACCATGAATCGAACTCATAATCTTCTGTTTCTGAGGTTGCCGAGCATCGCGTGTTTTGCATCGCGCAGCCCCTCGCCCGATGAACGATACATTCATCCTCCAAAGCAGCATATAATTTAAAACTGCAAAATTAAAATTGCAAAATAAGACTTGCTTTTACAAGTCTTAAAGCAAAAAAAAAAAAAAAAAAAAATATATATATATATATAATTTAAAACCTTGAGAGGTTGTAAATTGTTATTTATTTTATTTTTTTGTTTTTTGGCTTTAAGGCTTATTTTGCAGTTTGGTCTTTTACAAGTCTTAAAGCCAAAAAACAAAAAAATAAATAAAAAATAATAATAATAATTTAAAACCTAGAGAGGTTGTAAATTGTTATTTATTTTATTTTTTTGTTTTTTTGCTTTAAGGCTTATTTTGCAATTTTAATTTTGCAGTTTGGTCTTTTACAAGTCTTAAAGCCAAAAAACAAAAAAAAAAATAAAAAATAATAATAATTTAAAACCTAGAGAGGTTGTAAATCAAATGATAAATTTCTGTAGTGTCCACCCACACGATTCCCACACCGCTTTTGGTCGGGGAAAAAAAAAATGAAACCTTTCTTCTATTTGAGTAAAATTCTGTGTAAATGAAAATATGGTATTAAAGGAACACGTATTTAAACAAGAACATGTAGTAAAATTCACCACTATCATTAAAATTTGATATAATATTAATAACCGAAAGCATCAGTAAATCAGAAAAAAAATTTATAGACATTTTTGTTTCGCATTTATTTATTATTATTTCAAGATGAAGCATGGCTACGGCCAAATTTATTTTCTCAGCTGGATGAAAGTAATTAAAAACTAATACACTGATTTATAGGACTGATAAAAGGAGATTCAGCAACTTTCTTCACAATTGATCATAACAGAATGTAAGGATAGATTCTTATAAATAATTCTAAAACAGTTTATGAAATCTTTTATAAGGAAACTTATTTCACTAAAAACGCGTATTATTAATAATAATTATCTTCCTTTTTTTTCCTCTTTTAAAGTACGAGAATACGCGTTTTCGTCAATTTTGTTTTTACCTGGATTAGAAACTGCAAACACATTACTAACAAAGTCATGGTCACGTGAACACATCAAGAAACCAAAACAGCACAAAGATATAAATTTTAGATTTAGCATCGAGTAATGTGAAACAGCGAGGAACTGTCCATTTAAAACCAAACTCAGTACACAAAGTAACAACTTCTTTAAACAATGTTATTATTATCGTTCTTTTTTACTTTTACTTACCTATATATGTAATATATAGTAAAAGAATGTATTGCGATCGTGAAAATTTTCGAATCCGGGTTTTCAACGGATATACACGTTTTGAGGTCCTCTGAGTCCAAATAAACAAGTTCCACAAAATGGTCTGTGTGTGTGTGTGTGTGTGTGTTTGAACAGTATAGCTCAAAAAAGAAAAGTCGTACGAAAGTGATATGGTTGGGCCGCTACCTTTTCCGTCAAAATCGGCTATCCGAAAGTGCTACTTTACATAATAGATTTTAAACATTTTTCTTGAAAACGGCTCAAATGATTTTAATTAAATTCATTATATCAGTGTAAAAATAAGCTGTTTTTAATATGATGTAGGTCTTATTCACACTGATGTTCAATAACAAGGTTTAGATGCCTAATTTTCAAAGTACCTTTAGTTTTTCTAATTTGAAATAATTAACCATTTTACGTTGTAAAATTTTATAAAAAAAGGATAAATATAAAATATGAAAGAATTGATTAACTAAAGGAGAAATTAAGGATGCAGCAAATAGTAATACAGAACCAAGAAACCCGTGCGCACACGAGCGGCTTCAATACGAACACGTGTTTAACAAAATACGTGCTACGATATTTTTAGTTTTAAGGTTTAGCTACGTTAAAAATGCAATTAGAAAACTTTGAATAGACCAATATTACCAGAAAATAATTTCTATTCAAAGTAGAGCGGTAAGTGAAAGTTGTGCGATGCGCCCACCAGATTTTTTGAAACGGTGTTAATTTAAAAAATAAGTGTCATTAATCCAATTAATACTACCTGCTGTACTCACCCAAACAAATTGCTAAAGAGCTTTAGAGGGAAGTACCATAAGTATCTTGCTTAGAGTACTCTATTTGTCTCTTGTGCTCAGGAAAAAAAGAGTAGCGTATTTTACAGGCATTGTGCATAACCCGTCAAGTTATTTGCCTTTAATCTGTATTTTCCAATTTTTTTTTTGTTATTAATTACACAAAGTTTCATTTTTTATCTTGTTGTTGTTTCTGTACCTGCTACGGCAAGTAATAGATTTAAAGGATTAGAACCAGAGATGAGCTAATAGAACATTAATGTCTTTTGGAGAAGGGCAAATTACATTTAACACATCATCGGTCAACGTTTGGGCACACGAAGACGAGTTAAGATCTGTAAAATAATTTGTAAAAAAAAAAGGTCTACCAAGTAAGGTCAGTATAGCTTCCTCACCGTTTTCATTGGCTAAACAATATTTATATTTCAAGGTCTATAATTCGGCGATTGAGGTGGTATGGGCACTGCAGGAGAATGTCGGAAGAGCATTGGCCGAACAGAGTCCTGGACTGGCAGCCATCCGGAAAGCGTAGGCGAGGACGACCGAGAACCACGTGGATGGAAGGAGTCCGAGAAGAGATGGCCGGCCGAGGTCTACAGGAGGGTGACTGGGAGGATAGAGATGTGTGGAGCTCTGTTCTGACCTGAAGAGGTATCCCACCTTGGAACACCGGATGAAAAAAAAAAAAGTCTATAATTTTTCGTATGAGAATAAAATCTACGAGAGAAGCCGTTTCCGGAAATACAGTAATTTCTCAACATTCGCGGGTTTATATTTACAAGTTTCGTAAAAATTGAGTCTTTTACAGTAGAGCATAACAACTAATTATTTCTTTATGATTTATTATTATTATTTCATATTTTATTGCCCTCTGCTATTACTATAGTAGCAGATCAGTTGCAGTCTAGAAAATGTCACATTAAGCACAAATAGAATAAAAATTGAAAATGTTTACATACGAACTTTTACAATAACAATAGCAATATATATAATTAATAGGTTTGTTTTCACTCATAAAATGGATCTATTGAAAAATTCAACTTTTTGTATGTTCGGCATTAACGAGACCAATAGTTTTCTTCAGGCAGAACAAAACTAATTAAAACTGGAATATAAAAAATATGAGTGAAGTTCACAAGTCGGTTGAACTTCAATAGAAATAAATACAATCACAAATAATATTATTTGATTACAAATCTAAGTAACAGCAGTGTCAGTTCAGTAACGCTTGAAATCGACTAAATACTACCGTATAAATTAATTTTTTGAACAAAACCAAAAATTTTATAATCTCATTAAAATATTGCATTAACCTAACCCTCATTCCATATTAAACAGCCATTATATTGTTAACAATTATTTATAAAAACCTGTACCACTACAACCCATGATGGGTCTGCGGTTCAGTACTATTTAGGGAAAGTACTAGTTTCTAGGTCAACGGTTGTGCAAGGAGGTGATTTGACCGAGATCACGCTCAACCGCCAGGTTTTCCCCCTTAACTAATTAATTAATTAAGGGTACCCACTTTATAGAGGCTGGGTGTGCCCCAGGAGGGACTCTCAACCCAGGATCGCCCCACGGCCAATGAAACAGATAAATAAATTTTCTGCCATGAGCCGGGATTCGAACCTGGGACCTTTGCATTGGAAGCTCAGTGCCCTACCGCTGAGCTACCCCACTCCCTAACAATTATTTATAGTAATTTTAATTATTAAATGAAATTGATACTAGGTAATTTCTATAATATCCTCCAAATTTCCTCAAAGTTTGTTTCAAATAGATCTATTCATTTCGTGTTCTATAGGGGTGTCAAATAACAGAACATTTCCTGATATGAAAGCAGAAGTGTTTTTTTTTGTTTTTTTTTTTTTTTTTTAGTAATGGATGGAATTTGATAAAATTCATAGATACTTGATTATCTGTTTACCATTTCCTAACTTCTCCCAAATTTACGCCAAATTGAATGTGCGTTTTTAGAGATACAGACGTACCAAGGAAAACACGTTTAATATGCTTCCGCATATTTGAGAGAAAGTAGTGAACGAAATTCAATAAAATTGACAATACATAATTTTTTTGCCAATGCCTACATTTTGTCAAACTTTGAGTCTAATCGAAGGAGCCGTTTCTGAAATATTGGCATACCTAATAAAACATGTTTGCGTGTGCGTGAGTGAAAGTGCAGGATGGAATTTGATAAAATTGATATGGGACCATCTAATTACCAACCCACACAATCCTTGAAAATTGGATAAACTGTTTTAGGTGATATGAACGTTATATCGATTTGGCTACAGATAGATACCGAATTAAATTTGATCCTTGATGTCTGAAACGTACAACGCAAGTTTTTCGTTAACCCCTCGCACGAATACCAAACATTCGGTAGCGAGAAAGCAAAACAATATAGCAGTAAAAATGTTAAAAAACAATAAAGAAAGCATTCAGTTAGTTTAAAAAAAAATATCAATTGAAATAGCGTGAAAAATGTTGTAGTATATATGTTTATAAGTGAAGCTTCCTTCATATTGTTACTAAATTGTGACTTAAACTAATGTAAATAGATTTGGTAAATATCATGAGAATGCAAACAAAGTTCTTATTTTACACAATGCATATAATTAGTGTATTAAAAAGATATATTATTTTTAAATTTCCAGGTTAATGAATATGCAATTAAGTCCATACCCGTGATAGCTTTTTCTTTCCATAACCATAGTCATCGTCTTCACTTGTGTTAGCAGCAGTAAAATTAAGGTGACTGGAAAAATAAAGAAAAAAGTTAATAATATAGAAATGACAATAATAATAAAAACATATTCAAGTATGATAAATATACATAAAATTGCTTTTACAAAATGTTAGCGAATAATTGATAAATGGAGTGAATTCCGACATTATAATAATATAGAATTAATTATAATAATCCGGATGGAATGTAGAGACATTTATTTTTTGATATCCAATTTCAATGACATGACGATGAACGATGAACCACATTAACGATCTCTTACCTTTTCATATATTACCAAATTTTATGTTCTTTCATATTGAATATAATGTATTTCTTCGAAAAACTCATTGATAATGAGTTATTAAGGAAAAACTAACGAAAATCAATTTGACCGTTGACGGTTATTAAAAAGCAACCTGGTACATCATAAGCCAAGATGTATCCTCTTATAGAGATATCTTTAAATTTCATCAACATTTAAACTATCATTTTTTAAATGAAACGATTTTTAAACGACTGACCGGATCTCAATATGTTTCAGGATTATTTTTAATTTTTTAATCAACTCCAACAATATAAGGATTTAGGAGTTGTCTTATTATACTCAACTATAGAACACAAATCGACTTTGAGGAACGATTAATAGGATAGAGAACAATACTCACAGTTCTGTTCTAGTCGATATACGTAACGTCGTAACCAAATAAACTAACAATAATAAAGTTGAGCGAGGGCTTATTCATTAAATAAACATTCCTTAGTCTGGAAATAAACTAACTGCACGTGGCCTATCTGCCCCAGAAAAAAGGAAATGATATAACTTAGTTCAATTGTGTAACAAAGAACGCTTTGAGAAACAGACTAAAGACTTCGGTCCATATTTACTTAGAAAACGGCACAAAAATATCAAATGCTGATTATCAGTAATTGTAATCTATTCGTAGAGTGCTGTGATAGGCGATATTTACAAATTGTTCCTGTTCCTCAACTCTACCTGATACTGTTAGTAACATGGTAACATGCAGCAAGTACAGTCATCCAAGATTTTTTTGGCCTAACCTAAAATTAACGTGGGGCGCCTTATCTGAAGTATTTTTCTTAAAGATTTGTAAATTTTTCAGATTGTATTTCCCCAAATATACGGGAAAAATTAATATATAAAGTGAATTTTATTTGCAAATAACTCAAACATTACTCACACACACTCAACAAATAACGTAGAAAGAAATTGAGCAGTTAAATTTTATCAACTTCCTAAGGTAAGCATTAATGAAACGACAAAGAGTTGAGACAAGAAATTTACGGCTTTTAATGAATAAAGGATGGAGGTAGAAGTAGAAGAAAGCAAAATAGTTCCCGCGATGAGCAAGAAACAACTAGAGTGGACTAAGTGATTGCCATAAGGCCATGTCACAAGACTGAAGCGGTGCTAATATGCGGTACTGAAGAACAACCGATGCGAGAGGCCCAAGGTCGTTGGCTGTCCATGCCGGGAGTCAATGTACCTGATGTTTCCAGTTTGGCACATTTTAGTATATCTGTAACGATTCGCTATCAGCGAGAAAATAATGGATACGTACATGCAGATAATACATTTCAACCCATCTTTAGTTTAAATATTTTAAATTTCACATCTTATATAAATAATAAAACATATTTTATTCCCGGAGTCTGGTATGGAACCCACATCCCATCGGATAACCAAATAAAGATTAAATAAGCAGCCAGTCGCAATAGACCTTCCTCTTCAAGAACGGTCCTCACGTCGACGAATGATCTATTTATTATTCGAGAGCGTATCGTTCAAATTTAGCATTGAGCTTGCCGCGCAGATCTGTTCGGTCGTTTCTAAGTTTAACTCCACAATGTCTCAGTTAAACCAACTTACTTTAAGATTGTGTTGTTGCTTAAATCATCTTTGTTTTAATTCCCTTTGATAACGAATGCAAATAGAGCTCAAAGAAGATATTTAAACAAAGTTGAAATGTTAAGAAGTGCCGATCTGTAGAAGGAAGGAATTCTTAGCGTCAAGTTGGAATCTGTCAAAGGGTTTCAGAGGCTGTGATCTGGAGGCTGATGTCTCAATAGCCGTCCTGGACAGGTAGTAGGTAGTAGGTAGTAGGAGAGTAATAAATGCAACGGAAGACACGTACTACAGACTCCAGATCCATCGGAACCAATTATCCACTGCTTGTGAATTTCTAAATAATCTAGCATGTGCTACTGGGGTACGTGTTTCTTATCAGGCGGTGGAAAATACAAGAGTTTCATTTGACTTTAAGAGTTCCTGAAAAAGCTCCAGGTGTTACAAAATTGTTATCAATTTATTCCAAAGGGTAAGTCCCACTGTTCGATATGAGATATCAGACGAGTGTTGATTTAATTAGCACTCAAATGATAAATATTGTCAAAATGGAAGAGAAGAAACGAACGCTACTTAAATGCAACCACGTAAATTTAATTTTCTTGCGGTGACACAGTGAGGTTTGGAGAAAGAATTTCCAAGCAAGGAATAAGCGATTGATTTATTTTACCCTCTCTGATCCCTCAAAATTACATAAATGAGATACTGATACTTCAGGTTGATCCTCTAATAGCATCAACTAATGCTGGAATGGGAGTTAATACTATCCTATCGTACGAAAGAAAGCCACATCCTGCCAGGATAGCTAAGCAGCTTTTAAAGGACAATGAAAATGAGACAATGCAAAGGGCAGCCTGCATTTATTCTTGACCTAAATGCGAGATTGAACACCTATCCGATTGAACACATGCATATAGCATATATATATATATATATATATATATGTATACATGGGACGTCCTCTGAAATACCGATTATACCACTCAGAATCTGAAAAAGTTGAAACTCCACCTATATCTATTAGAAAAATAGTCTGTTATCAACATTTTTTTTCATTTTGTAAGAAAATTCATTATCTTAAAACAAAGAAAAATAGAATTAGAATTAACCTAAATGTATATATGAGGAGTTAGTCGAGGGTGCGGTCAAATAAATAATAAATTAAAATATATTAATTATTTTAATTTTTGCCGACGTTTCGGCCCACTTTGCAGGTCGTCTTCAGGGCTACAAAAGATACAAAACATGTTGAAAATAAAAAATAAATATAAGTATATATAAAATAAGAAGAAATTGTCACATACAGAAATAAAAGATGATATCAGAGATAGAGTGGGTGACAATGTAGTTAAATATTAAGAATTATATATGTAGAAGATACAAATAAATGGAAAATAAGTATGAATAAAAATAAAAATAAAGGAGAATGTAGCATGTAAGTTAAGAAACGTCGGCAAAAATCAAAATAATTAATATATTTTAATTTATTATTTATTCGACCGCACCCTCGACTAACTCCTTCTCATATTATATCAACGGTCAACCATCTCTACATCATTACTAAATGTATATAATTTTTTTAGTTATTCACAAATAAAACCTTGAAAATGGCTAGTTTACGAGAAAAAAAAATGGTGAGGCAGGTGGGTGAGACACTTCATACCTCCTAAAGAAAACTTCTCCAACATCAACTTAACGTTAAACATATCCAATTTCGATTCTCTAACTTCATTTGGAGTCGCTGTAGAAGCGCCCACACACACGAACACAAACATATATAGGGTGTCCCGTAAGTAGAGAGAAATATTTAAAAGGTTATTAGTAGACAACAAGATCTATAAAAAAGTTCATATAAACAATTGCCTAATTTCGAGCAGAAAAGTAGGAAATTTAAGTTATGTGATTTTTAAGCGTCAGGTGTTTTGTTGAATAGGAAGCGATAACTTAAAAAATATTTGATTTAAATAACTAAACATTGCTCCATAGTAAGCTAGACAAAGTTTACTTTAAACAGAAGTAGAGTTTGTCATTGTTAAAACTATTTAAAGAGGACTATTGGGCGGTCAAACACAGCTAGGATCCGTTCAAAAAAAGTCATAACTTATTTGTGATTTTGTTTTATCACCCTTTAATCATACTACATTTATCCCACTTCTAGGCAAACTTCTTCGTTTAATAATCTTTAAATTCACATTAGTTAAGTTGAGCTTTATTGGAAACCATTTTGAGATTCACCCCAAGCTGTGTAAAGAAACGATGTGATTTAATATCCAGTCACCTTAAAGTCTCCATATTTTCTGCAAAAACCACTACAATTAACTGTTGCAAAGCTTTTATTTCTTGTTTTTTTTTTTTCGTGATATGGGATGTATTGTAATAACCATAATAGCCTAAAAACATAGTTTATTTATAAATATAAAAAAATTATAAATAATAAATTTTTTAACATTCTTTATATAAAGTGGTTATGAAGTTGTGTTTTCCTGCCAGGTTTCCGTCATAAGAATTGATGTGTATTAATCAGTGGCAAACTTAATGTTTCTTACTTAAATTTACGTTTCAAATAAAGAAACCGATTTTCAATTAAAGGAAAAGATTGCTTCAATTATTTTCAAGAAAACATAAATATTAGGACTACAAACATTAAGTTTGTCTCTTATCAATAGGCATCAATTCCTGTGACAGAAATCGGGAAGAAAAACACAATTTCATAATCACCTTGTATAAAAATATTTGGAAAATCATTATTTTTAACTTTTATAAATAAAATGTGTTTTTAGGAAATTATGTTTATTACAATGCAACCCAGATCACGGAAAACAAGAAATTCAAACTTTGTAACAGTTAATTATAGTAATTTTGCTGAAAACACGGGTACATTTGGGAAACAGTATAGAAAAGCATATCCATTTCTTTACACAACGTGAGGTGAATCTCAACTTTTTCCTAATAAATCTCAATTTAATTAATAGGGACTCAAAGCTTATTGAATGAGGAAGTTTTTCTAAAATTGGGGTAGATGTACTGCAGTTAAAGGGTGACGAAAAAAAATCACTAATAATTTATGACTTTTTTTTTAAACGGAACTATTTGTCCACTCTACAGTTCAACTAGTTTACTATGGAGCAATGTTTAATTACTTAAATAAAATATTTTCTAAGTC